TATCGGGGGCAACAAGCTTACAAGAGCCCTTCCCTTTAGAAATGGGCTTGAAAATAACGTCTTTCGAATCAGGGGGTACCTTAAACATAGCTAAATACCTCTTAAGCAACTCAACGGGGAATGCAAAACCAGAAAATTGTGAGATAACGACTTCGTCGCCTTTACGGAGCTGGTCATTCTTGCTTTTCAAAACCTTAATAACCATGAAGCCTTTTTTAAAGGAAATATCACTTCTTCTAATTCTAGGCACATCGTCAAACCTAAAGAAACCGGCAAAAGATAAAACATACATGGTAACATTACGCAAATTTACAGGATTGTCTGGGTCTGATTTGTTAATAATGTCGTGGATTGAAGTGGCCGAAATAGGTTCTTTACGCCTAAGGACGCTTGTACCAAGAACTCTTTTGGACGCCGTCCTCAGAGCTTCAACAATTGGATCATCAGTTGGGGAGGGGATTCCTGCCAGGTCATGGGCCCATTTTAAGTCATAGAAAGCAGAATCGACCGCGCCAGGAGAGTGGGTTTTCTCTATATGATGTTGTAACTTATAATTATCGTTTGCAAACTGCTTCCATCTGCCGAAAGCACAGTTTTTTACAACAACGGTTCCATTTGCTTTGGAAGACAGTCGTCTTCAGTCGATCTTTCAGTCCCCCAAGCAAGTCGACAAGGGGTCCGTCCCGGGATTCCCAAAATCCAGAATGAAAAATATCTAAACGAGAGATTAAATAAGGTAAAGTGAGGAGTACAATCCTACAAAAAATAACTAAATAAATAGATAAACAAAAATAGAATAACTGGGAATAATCAAACTCCAACAGAGAATACACAGACAACTGGAATTTGTAAAATGGACCACGAATGGGTTCCTTTAATTTCAAACAATTCTGAATAAATTCTTGACACAAACTCGTGTCATAACTCGATAATGACGAGCAATACTATGACTTAAGTCACTTCAGGCCTGATTAAGGGTCAAACAATCCATAACCTAAGTACAAATAACTTAGAGGAATTACGCTGGGATTGACTGAAACAAAATCGCATTTGCACCCAGAAGAAAAAACTTCCGCGGTAAATACAAACGCCTGTGGGGCTAATTACAACGATCACAGTCTTTACTGAACTTCTTACAGGAGCCTGACGATTCGAAGGGCTATAACATCAAAGTTCTGAAGCCGAAAAGCGAGTTTCGGGCTTTCCCGACCTGGGAACTTCGGTGAAAACACTCAGTCAATTACGAAACTGTTCCAGTGTACACCGTCTCTACAAAATACAGTCCAGAAGCAAGAAGACCTCCACAAGGGAAGGATAACCGTTCCCTCTTGCCTTACACAGTTCCATTTCCTTTATCACTCTAATTAATAGGCACACTGGAGGACAAATTCAATTATTATCGTGCCTCCAATCCTGGGAGAATACATCTACTGCAGCACAGCCAGTCTGAAAAAATCTGGTGTTAAATCTTGGTACCTTAGCATTATAGGAACAAGCAAATCTGTCAACGGTGTCAACCGTTTTGAAGAATAGATTCGACGTTCTGGTTATCGGAACCAAATAACCTCAACACCAGAAAATGACTCGCGAAAGCTTCCAAGGCGAGGCAAACAGCTTTGAGTTCTTCATGTGGAACTTTGGGCACGCTCTACAGGAGACCAGTTCTGATGAAATACTAAATTCGAGTTCTTTACGAAAGCACCAGAAGCCGAATTGGAAGCATCTGAAAAGGTGACCTTGACTGGGACTGGACCGACCAATAAACCTTGCTATTGAGGAATACCATGTTGTTCTTCCAGAAACTGATTTCTGAAAGAGAGTCGTCTGAGAGAAAACTTCGCTTTCCCAAGAGCGCGCCGAATTCACGACCGAGAAAAGAAATCTAGTCATAATACGGGCAACATAACCCACACAGGGAGAGAGGGAAGTTATTTGACCCGTTACGGTAGCGACTCTTTTCACGTGCACTTTCTGGGGAGGTTGACAAGACACCAGCTCAACAAGGCCAGCGTTTAACTTTTCAATGCGTTCGTCGGTTGCTTTTATAGTCCCATCTGTAGTGTCGAGAACCACACCCAACCAGGTGATAACCTGGACAGGCTCCCAAAGGGACTTTACCTCATTAGGAACAAATCCAGACTTGAGTAAATCTGAATGGACGACTAAACTGTTAACTTTAGCAGATCTTCGCATTTAAACTTCTGCTTGTATATAAACTGGTTGACATGTCGAAGATCCAAAATGAGCCTTTGCCTTCCCGAAATACGGGTAGAAACTGAACGCGGGTTGATGATATGGGGCTTACAAGCAAGTTCTTCAATTAGGTCCAAACGAAGTAAATTGTTGACAGTTTGCGAAACAAAATCATTATTCTCACGAGCAGAAGTATTGTTTCTCTTAGCAAAAGGTGTTGGAAGTTGGAAGAAGGGAATTTTGTAACCCTGCATAATAACATTCAGGACGAATTGCGAAACTTCCAAAGTACGCCAAAAATCCACAAATTCTCCAAGTCTTCCACGTACAGATGGATAAGACAAATCAACTGCAAGAGAGTCTGAATCTTTTAAGGAATCTAACAGGAAAGAATCAGCACAAGCGGCAACGCTAGGATCCGAGTCAATGGCACTGCCTAATTCTGATTGCGAAGGCAAACTACTAGCTTCAATATTAACTGAGGAAAGAACTACACCTGAGTTATGGCGGTCGTCTAGTCACTTTATTGATGTATTTTGCTGGGCCATTGTTGGACAGGATGCGCGCCAGTGGCCAGATTTACCACACGCAAAACATATCCCGGGTTTGGGTCGAGGCGAAAAACCAGGCACAAGTGCGGGAATAGGCCGCGGTTGGCTTGAAACGGTAGACTCTGCCGGCGCCGAAGATTTCTTCTTCTTTAATGCGTTGACAAAAGTACGAGCGCGCGATTTAGCCTTGAATATCCGCTTCTCATCATCCGAGTCATCTGCCAAACTGTGCTTTTTATATTCATCGACCGTAGCCCATCCGTAATCTGACTTGTCTGTCAGTAGAATGTGTTTCTGCCGCTCAGAAATTAGTGTCTCACCTTCTTCTAAGCTGGTTTTGACCTTCTCGAGCTGTGAATTTTCGGCGGCGGACTTGGCGCTGTCAAGCGTCTCGCTCAGTTTCTGGTTAAACTTGAATTGATCCTCGTTTGCTTTTTTCTTAAATTTATGCGACTCGTTGAATTTGAGGCGCTTGATCTCCTTCATCTGGCTTTCCGCCGAGTCTTCGTTCGACCGTTTGATCTGAGAAACGGTCTGCTCTAAGAGGCCGTTGAAAGAAGCGAGAAGGTTGTCATTGTTAGCCTTGATTAGTGCTTCCATGTCTTCTTTCTCGATCGACATGGCGACAGCGAGAAGGAAAGACCAGAAAAAGATCACTAAATTTGTCATCAGCCAGAGGTGGACGGTTTTGTTCTGAGGCCTAGGTGGACATCACGTGCAGTACTCCCCCTTATATAGCCAGAGCATCATTACTCATGATGCTCGGGCCTCAGGCCCAGGCCTTGTCGTATCTCGTGCCAACAAAATATTTATTTCTGCCTTATTCGCAGACTCAATCGTCAAAAATAATACTTTTTTTATGTCACCTGTGTCCGATAGAAAGAGAAAATCCAGATATTTTAAATCATTTTAGCGCGTGGACAAATCCCTATAAACAGGAGAACGGTTAGGGATGGCGACGTATTTCTCCTTACAATATCACCCCCGCATCAAAC